CGATGCTAGTAGACTTTGCTAAGTAAACTTTGCTTAGCCTAGAATAAATATGCTAATGGGCTTAGTAAACCTATCTTAGCCTAGAATAAATATGCCAATGAGCTTAGTAAACCTTTCTTAGCCTAGAATAAATATGCTAATGGACTTAGTAAACCTTGCTTAGCCTAGAGTAAATATGCTATTGGGAGGTAGATAAGATGAAAGCTCTCCCAGAAGGAATGACTTTGGACATGCCACATTCACCTGCGATGATATCTTTAATACCACCCGCGGAATGAAACTCTAGCGTATTTACAAAAAACCCCCGTGTTGATCTGAAAATTTCGCCCGTGTAAGTTTGTTGTATTTTATCAGTTGTTATACTCTGCTATGTTCACGATTACCATCGGGAAACGTGTAGCACGTTTGTGGTACAGTTGTAACGTTATAGTAGCAGCGAGTGAAGTATATACTTCGAGTTTGGCTGATGCATATGTAGTAACCGATGTCCCTCTAATAGTCATGTGGCACTCCATAAGAAGATCGTGGCTTGGTGGCCAGTTCTGGACAATACGACAGACCATTAGACAATACGACAGACCATTAGACAGCACGACAGACCATTAGACAATACGACAGACCATTAGACAATACAACAGACCATTGGGCAATATGACTATCAAACGGCCCGCTGGAGGTCTGTTCACAGTAATTCCTGGCCCTATAGCGACGCGTAGTGCAAAAGCCGCCATACGAATAATTTTCCACATTCGACTGCATGGTATAATCCGGAATATGTTGCATCATTCATTTATATCTGTCAATCCATGCGTTGTAGCTTCGCAACTTCATACTGATGACATTCTGCTTGTGCCAACTACAGATTGGTGTATGCCGCGTGGGCGGCCATTAGAGCAATCCCATTGGCCAATCAGATCAACTGGAATCCATACTACTCGGTTGTACCAGTCTAAACACAAGTACACACAGCACAAATTCACCAATCAAAGGGCGAACATGCCGCAAAAGTCAGGCGAGTCCTTCAGAAACTCAACGAACAAAACTTCAAGATTAACGAGAAGAAATGGCACTTCGCCATGAGCGAAATACAGCTCTTAGGCTACCGTATATCTGGGGAAGGTATTAAAATCGACCCCGGTAAGGTGGAACACCTGTTAGATTGGCGAACACCAACTACAGGAAGAGATGTGAACAGTATATGTGGGTTTGTAAACTTCTTCTCATATGGAGTACCACATTTAGCTGACTATCTTAAACCATTTGGACACTTAAGATGTCATAAAGGCAAACTAGGAGACTTGTGGGCCAAATAGTGAGATGACATTTTTAAAGCGCTCAAGCACGCAGTCCAACAAGCCCCCGTTGTGCAAGGACCAGTCGATGGCGTGCCTTTTGAAATAGCAATGGACGCATCAGACTTAGCACTCGGAGGCGTACTATACCAGGCGATAGAAAATAAACCTAGATATATACAATTCTTTAGCCGAGCAATAAATGCATCACAGTTGAATTATGCAAATGTGAAGCAAGAGCTACTAGCCATAGTAGCTTTAACACACTTCCGCGATTACTTATATGGAACAGCTTTTACGCTGATGTGTGATCAGAAGTCCCTTCAATATATGAAGGAAATAAAGCCAGACTCTCAATTACTGAGCCGATGGAATGATACAATATCAAAGTTTCATTTTGATATCAAACATCTACCAGGGATATATAACCATTTACTGGATATGTTATCACGCTTTGTACCGGACTTTAATAAATCCGTACGTGAGTTACTAGCCACTGATTGGAAATGTAACCCCAGGTGGTTTGAACTGGCTCAAAAGATATTTGGGCAACATACAGTTGACATGTTTGCTGCACATCATAATGCACAATTTAAGAATTACAGGACTTTAAATCATCCTTTAGGAGATGCCTTTCAACTAGACCTCTCCGAACATAATGCGTGGGCTAATCCACCATGTCGGTTAATTGCCCAATTACTAAATTATGTTCATATACACAAAGCTACCATCACGTTGTGTTGCCCATTGCGGAGCAAAGATCCATGGCTCAATACATTAATAAGCATGATACAATGCGAGCCAATATATTTAGATAGGGAAGTAGATGCTTTCCTATATCAGGGTACCCGAGCCGTTCAGAAGACGCCCTGGAGACATACTATAATATGTCGTATAGGTCCCATTGGAACAACCAAATGGACCCCTTCTGATACCTTCCTTAACAAGGTCAAAGAATCAGAGATTCCACTCTCTACTAAATTGAACGTCAATCAGTTCAAAGGCAACACAGCACTTGAAGTCTGTGCACAAGAAATACAATCTACAAAAGACACTACAGTTAAGAAGCGTCAGTCTCTTGCTAGGACTCTGTTTAATAACATAAAGTCCAAGCCCGAAGTCTTTCAACCTCTATTTTTAAAGGGATTAATGAAAGATAATCCCGAAGTATATACACATATAATGCGACTATTAAATAGGTCAGGTGTATCACAAACGCACACGAGCGCACTCATGACACTATAGTGAATACTAAAAGGGGGGGTAATTCTATTATTTGACTAAATATGTGTTATAAATAGAATATTTTTTTGAAGCGAGCGAATTCAAACTATCACAAAAAAATAAAATTATAATAGTACTAGCTAAAAAATCCCAATAGCCCAGTAATCCTCCATTAAATACTGCGAATTCAAATTATCATTACGAGTGAATACTATAGTGAATACTAAAAGGGGGAGGAATTCTATTATTTGACTAAATATGTGTTATAATTAAAATATTTTTTTGAAGCGAGCGAATTCAAACTATCACAATTTTCATATATAAATAGTACTAGCTAAAAAATCCCAATAGCCCAGTAATCCTCCATTAAATACTGCGAATTCAAATTATCAATATTTACGGGGGGTGACCCAGCCCCCCCACCCCCCCCCCCCCCCCCCTTTATATCTTCCTTAAAGTAGATTATGAATACATATATATTTCCTTTGTAATATTGATCGACTCAAAACACTATGTAACGATGAACTTAGTTTTATTTCCTTGATAGTTGAATAAACGACTACCTTAGCAGAATGAACTTCTTGAATGAACTAAACCACGTATTTATACTATCTCCGAAGGATTCCCTTGAGAATCCTGTCGCCAATCAAATCGTGTTTCTACTCAATTTCGAGCCTACAAGTCCATTCAACATACTTCGTCATCTGCCAACCTCGAGCTCATATTACCCCGCACTTCGGTTCGCAAAGCACCAATCATACACCAACCTATTCCTCTTCTTTCGAGCCTGCGCGGCCATTCGCCTACAAACCGCACAATACAACTTAGAACTTTTCAAACTTATTAGTTTTCACACTTATAAGTTATCACCCACACTTAGAAGTTCTCGCACTCTTATTAACGCCCAGGAACATTACCGAAATGTCTCTGTGTCTTCTCTCCGCTGCTCCCAGAACCTGAGGACGATATGGTGGCGACTTCGCATGCATCACTCCAACTTCTTGAGTTATTAGTTTAACAATCTAGTTCGAAAACTCGCCTCCCTCGTCTGATTGGATTTTCCTGAGAAAACCGTGTTCCCCAAACACCTCCATAAGTTTCGATGTCACCACTTCTGCTGACTTTGTGGCCGTTGCTCTTAATATCGAGTACCCCGTTGCTATATCCAAGACGTGCAATATATATCGATTTCCTGTTGCTGAAACTAGTGGCATTGGAATCATGTCGACTTGAATATGATCCCACGGATACTTTGCCGTTATATTAATCATCGGGTAAAATCCCTTTCGTAACACCCTCTGTCCTAGACATGTGCGACAGTTTCTCCTAACTGTTTGTGCAAGTTCCAAAGCGTTAGGCCACAAAAGTCTGTTCTGCTGTAGTTGAGCAACTGTATCCTCTGCTATATGATGCCCAATCTCATGCTGACACAAGGTGAGCTGTGTGTGACGGCTTATCTCTTCCTCATCTGGAGAATCCGTCTGGCTACTTCCGAGGTAGCGATCGATACTAGCCGAGACGTATCTAACGGGATGACTTTCGATACTGAGGACGGTTCGGCATATCCCAATCGTGCTGAAAACGTCGCTGGAAGGCTGTAACCATTGCGTGGGCCTACTCTGGCAATGACTGTGTGACCCCATGGTGTCTTGCCACTCGCATACTTTCCGTATTTGAGGAAGGAGTGGGCTGTCCTTGGAACTAATACTGGGTCCCTTTGTAGAAGCGACTTGAATAACTGGAACCAAGGCTCGTGGGGCA